GAAAAGAAGGGAAAACAGTTAAAGCCTTTGGCATGTAAAGTATTAAATAAGGCTTTCATTTTATTTTCATTTCATTTCCGTTCGGCAGAGTTCTCAGGAGCAAACACACCTTTAGATGGTACTAACGATCCTTGTTGGGGAAAAGAGAAGCAGTTAGTTGAGATGGGCTGGAGCTGTTGTCATTACTGTTGTTGTTAAAGTCCAATCCCACTTCCTACAAGGCAAATACACAAGGGAGGGGAGAGAAAAGAAAAGCAAAGTCATAAAACGCAGCTTCTGTCCCTGGTGTTGTCTCTTACTTGCCACCTCGCTGCTGAAAAACACAGGCATGGCACATGCTCTGAACAGCCACTCTGAACTGGTACCAGCATCAGGCTGTTTAGGGCATTTCTTTTAGCTGCCTCTCTGGTCACAGGCTTAAAGCAGTGTCCCAAAATACGCAGTATTGGCCAGCTAAGCCACGTTCTTATTAGACAGAAGGCAAAAGGAGAGGGCTAGAAGTGGGGGGGTGGGCAAGGGGGGAGGGAAAGGAGGGTAGAGAGGCTCTGCCTGGCCCCAGGCCCTCACAGGGGTAGCGAGGGGTGGATCTGCTTACCTTCAATCTCACCTTTACTTGCAAGCTGTGATCCTTCCATAGAACTCTCTGTGCATGATAATAATTCACTCGCCCACACCCCAAGCACCTACATGCCACAGCCCTAATGCCAAATGTTAACAAAACAACAACAGGGATGATAATAATTCACTCGCCCACACCCCAAGCACCTACATGCCACAGCCCTAATGCCAAATGTTAACAAAACAACAACAGGGATGATAATAATTCACTCGTCCGCACCCCAAGCACCTACATGCCACAGCCCTAATGCCAAATGTTAACAAAGCAACAACAGGGATGATAATAATTCACCGTCCACACCCACAAATGAACCAGAGGATTTTCTCGGAACAGTCCAGGAGAGGGCTGAACGCTACAGAACCCGCGGTTTGGGGGAAATTCAGGAGTGGGGGTGTTTTGGGGTCACCTTGCTGGTTGTAGCCATGGTTGGTGGAAGCCAGAATGGGGCTGTAGACAGGCTGCTGGGGTCAGAGCGGCTGACCCAGGGCTGTCTAGCACACAGACACTCAGGGTGTGACCTGCAGGCAGGCAGGCTGGTTGTGAGCACCCCAGGTGGGGAGCTACAGCAGCAGAGCATTGTGAGGCACCCCAGATTGCAGGGCAAGTGCTGACACAGCCCCTTACTGGTCTGGCTTGCACCCTAAACTCCATCAGGAGCAGTCAAATCAAAGCATTATTTATAGCTTGCGTTTTTCTAATTAGAGCAGTCAGGGCCGGCTCCAGGCACCACCGTCCTCGCTGCTCCCCTGCTGCAATCTTCAGCAGGTTGCCAAGTAACCCCCCACCCCCCAAAAAACAGTGTCCAGAAAGGAAAGACAGGTTCACCCATCAAAACCAACTGATGAAAACACAACTTTCGGGATTCAGGGCATAGACACTTCCCATCACCGTCGTCCAGCACTGAAATGATATTGGGATCCCACCCAAAGCCTTGAAATTCCCAGATCAGTCCTTGGAGTTTAAACACGTCCGATTCCTCCCCGTCTTTTTGTTTCCAACTCTTCCTTCCTCCACGAACAGTGCTACAGAACAGATCCTGCTCCATCTCGGCTACCCCTTCACCACACTGGACAATTTAAGACTCACCTTCTGTAACATATTTACCCTATGAGGTAGGGAAGTGCTCTTATTCCGTTCTACAGAGTGCGAACTGAGGCCCAGAGAGACTAAGTTACTCAGCCAAGGTCACACAGGAAGTCTATGGCAGAGGAGAGAACTCAACTCCAGGCTCCCGGTTAGTGGGTTACCTGACAGCCCAGAGGTGGCTGCATTTTAGTAGTGCTGTGGGGCTATGTCCTGTTAAAGACCTTGGCGATCCTTTGCGATAAAAGGCACTAGGGCAAATTCAGTTCTGATCTAGTCTGAATCCAGTGTGTATTGAGGGGAGTGGTGGGCCTCTGCCCTTCACGCGCTACCTGGATCCCTGCTTCAGTGTCACAACCAACCTGTAAATGGCCAAGGAAAGAATTCCAGGGCAGGCCCGATATAGAGCTGCTGTAAGTGGCCTGCACTCCCAGCTGGCGAGTCCTGGGTCGAAGGTGTGCTGGGGCAGAGCACTACAGGGGTTCTGGGCTGTTCCAGACTGCAGAGGGTCCCGTTGGTGGCCTCCAAGAGCCCCTGGGCTTGCTCTAATTCCAGGCCAGGGGCCGGAGCAGCCCAGAATTCCAGTGAGGAAAGCTTGAACTCATTGAAATCAACGGTAAAAATCCCATTGACTTAATAGAGTCAGGACTGCACACCAAGGATGCAGCAATGGCTTGAGGCTGCCTTCCTTCGGACTGTGCCGGAGTCCGGCCCCTGCTGGAAGCACAGCGCGGAATTTCACCCCAGCGCTTTGGGATCTGACACTCACCAGCCTAAGGCAACAAATCCAGCAGGGAGCAAACGCAGGTTCTAGTTCTTAGCTTGACCGTCATACGCTGCAATTGCTTCCTGCTTTGGGGGATCCGTGAGGCAGAGACCTACGGGTGGATGTAATTGCAGTGGAGTAACAGGAGGATTTAGTTTGCCTTTGAGCTGGCGTTAGAAAAGCTCCACTTCGGGAGCTCAGCGAGACAAAGCCAGAAGGGGATTACCCGACAGAGGGATCCCCCACAAGCTCCCTCCCCACCCCCATAGAGGGGTTACTATGGGGTAGGCGAGTTTTAAAGCTCTTGTCTATTTTCGTGCGACTTTTCCCCTTTGGGCCATGAGATGGAGGATGCTAACATGCAAAGACAGGCTTTGATGTGAGGTAACTTTTCCAGGAAAGAGTCCAAGCTCAGTGTCGGTTTGGGGAGAGTGAAAGGCATCGGCTACTCCTTTGATTAGAATTAGTTACCGCAGATCTTCACAATGACAGACCAGACCCATGGGAGTTTCCCTGGAACCGAGTCACAACTGGAACCATCCACACCTTTGCATCTGAGGTGTCTCCAGCTGCAGGCATCTTTGGCACCAGGGCCCTAGGGTGAAAGGTGGTCATGGGGGAGACAGGTGAATTATTAATATACACAAAGAGTTCCTCAGAACTTCCTCATTGTTTTGTTCATGATCAGACTTGACACTTGTCTGCACAAACCCAGGGCCAGTTCATTCCAGGGTCCCAGAGAGTCATGTTGACTTTAATTGTCGCAAAGGGCGTTGACTCACAACTGTGCTGCTGTTCTGTGATGTGCAGGGGCCTGCAGGTGCCGTGTGAGTGTAGGGGGGAAACTTTCAAAAGAGTGCAGGGGTCTGTGTACACGGCAATAAAACACCCGTGGCTGGCCCACGTCAGCCGATTGGGGCTGGGGCTGCACGGCACTAAAATTGCAGTGTAGACGCTGGGGCTCATGCTGGAGCCTGGGCTCTGGGAACCTCCCACCTCACCAGGGCCCAGGCAGAGCTGTCCCCCCGCACTGCCCCCATGAGGGGCCTGAGCCCAGGCAGAGCCCCCCAACTTCCCACGTGAAGTGCCTCATGCTGCAGACCATGGTTATCCCCGGTGCAGCACATCTCTGTGAGGGTTTGCACCAGGGTATCTGAACTGTTGAGTAAGGACCCCCCCTAGACAGAGCTGAGGGAGAGAGAGGATGTATTTTCCCAAGGTTATACAGTGAGTTGGTGGTAGAGCTGGAGATGGAACCCAGGAGTCCTGGCTTCCAGCCTCCCCCTCCCGCCCCCAATTCTAGCTACAAGAGCCCACTCCCCTCCCAGAGCAGAAAATAGAACAATACTAGCCAGAGTTCTCACAGTTATTCAAATCAAAGAGTTTGGAAGCAGGGATATTAAACCTCCTGCTTCAGGGATTAAGCCAATCTCTGAGTACTAGAAACCAGAACGAGGCCTAACGGGGGGCAGATTATCCCACAGTTGATGTCTCCAGGGTCATACACCCTCCGTTGCAACATCTAGTGCCAGCAGCTGTTGTTGACAGGATTCGGGCTAGATGGACCTTGGGTCTGATCCAGGGACTTCGATCTGGGCATTCCTGTGCCCCTGTGGATTCTCTCCAGTCCCAGCTTGGAGTCGCGTGTTTATTTTGAAAAGGCAGAACCAGTGTGATTCCAACTCTCTCTCTTTATTAGTCTGATAACCATTCATGTGGGGCTGGTCTGTGATATGAGAGGCCTCCAGGGGCAGTGGGGATGCAAACCTGTCAATAGAGAAACCCCAAACCAAAAGCCTGAGCCTTGGGGGATCAAAACCTGCATCCAAATTTTGCAGCTCCCCTGGCTCGCTGCTAATCATTGCACCCTTATCTGGTGCAGGGCAAGATTCCGTTTCTTCCGTGGTGGGCAGAGAGTGCCTGGAGGCAGGGCCGTTGCTTTGGTGCAGCGATGCTTGGGGGAGGGCAGGATTTCTGGCCTGTGTTTTAATTAGATTGGGATAGGAGATGGGACTCCAGAATACACAGATATTTGGGCCTGGGCTTGTAGAGCAGAGAGAATGAGGTTCCAAGAGGAGCCCCGTGAGAAAAGTGCCCTGGACGGGGATCACACGTCACTCCTGTCCATTTATGAGGAAAGCATCTGGGCCTGGGGATTCGATGGTTTGTAAGGAGGTGACGGCTCCAGTAATAACGTAGAAATTTAAATCGCCACAGGGCCTCTTACCTCGAAGGGTCGCTGAGCCCTATCACAGGGCATACTCACATAGGGCCACTAAACACAGCCACCTCTGGGGTGTGGGGTGCCAAGGAGCTCATAGCCAGCCCACGACTGCCTCGCAGGATCTGTAGAGTAGAACGACTGCATCGGTCGCCAGTGCGTTGTCCACCTGTGTTCCATCTCCTCCCGCTGCCAGGCAAAGCTGTTCTTCAGTGTCATCTACAGGCAAACGGCCCCCTGCTAAACACGAACGAGGCTCACAGGGAGCCGAGGCATCACCACTCGTCTCTAACCTACCATTTACATTGCAGGTGAAGGTGAATAATCATCCACTCCACGGGGTCCGTCGTCGTATCCTGCTGGAACGTGTGCATTTCCTCAAGGCAGAGGGGGCCGTGACGCTACAGATGACCTGAGTCTTTGGAGTGAACCCCCCAGAGGTAATCGCAACAGGGGTGGCTGTGGTACATGGGACTCTACGAGACCCTGCTGTGATAATGGGGGCTGCAGTCATCGGGGCTGCGACTATCAGGGAGTCTGCCATGTGGGTGGCTGTGGCAAACGGGGCTGCCCCAGACAGTGCTCTGATAGATGTTGCTGTGATAACAGGAGTTGCTGTCAGCAGGGTTTCCGCTTAGCGTGCTCGTAGGCGTGCCAATATCTGTGCTAAAATGGTGGTGGCAGACACAAGCTTGGCAGCTGCTATATATCCGTCAGAAACGACGGACCGGATTCTCCGCTGTGCCCCAGCCCAGCTCAGGTCCAGAGGTGCGGTGGGAGATCATCAGGCAGCCAGTTGGGCTCCTTTATCCTTCACTGCCCAGCCCTAGTGTAACTGAACGGCAGCGGAGGAGCTGCTCTCAACTCCGGTGGAAAACTGGCATAGTAGAGCTCTGTTCTGTCCCAGACCCTACCCCAGCAAGCCCGCCCCGTGCAGCAGGCGTGGTGTGCCAGAGTTAGCTATGCTGCCTCTGTCAGTGGACAGTTCTCCTGCTCAAGGGAATTCTGCACTGGCTATTTATAGCTAGATCACACTGGATAATCTGGCCCTGACGTTGTAATTTAGGAGAACCAGGAACGGCTGATGCCTTTGTAATACCTAAGCTATCATTTTGTCACAAACCTGTCTGGTCCATGAATTAGTTCTGTGCAATAGAAACCAAGCCTAGAGGGTGTGAAGCATATGGGTCAGTAGTGTGCCCTTGTTGCCAAGAAGGCTAACAGCATATTGGGCTGTATTAGTAGGAGCATTGCCAGCAGCTGGGAATAGGCAACAGGGATCACTTGATGATTACCTGTTGTCTTCATTCCAGTGTCGGAAGACAGGGTACTGGGCTAAATGGACCTTTGGTCTGACCCAGTATGGCCATTCTTTCGTTCCATCACACCTGCGGAGCAGAGCAGTCGACCACCATCCTCATGCTGGAACTCTCGGCTTTGTTAGATATTCTGGTCCCAGGCCATGGAGCACCTTGAAGCTTAGAACTGAGACTCTGAACTTGACCCTCTAGTCCATGGGAGGCCAGATTAGGGAGCAGAGGGGAGGTGTGATGTGATCACAGCAGCCAGCACTGTGTTGCTGCGGAAATGGACTACAGCATTCTGTGCTGGCTGGAGTTTCCTCAACGCTGATGGCTCCATGCTGAGGTTTACCATATCTACAGTTAAAAGTTAGATCAACATAGCTACATCAGTCTGGGACATGAACAGTCCCCACCCCCTGAACACCATAACTATGCCAACCTGTGTCTGTACACAGAGCTGGGTTGACAGAGGAATGCTTCTGTCAGCCTAGCTACTGTCGCTTGGGAAGGTGGTGTTCCTACACCCTTCCATTGGTGTAGGCTGTGTCCAAACTATGGGGCTATGCTGATATAGGTGCAATGCCAGAGCGATGTCTCTTTCGTCCCCATAATGTAGACATCCCTTGAGACCCATTTTCAAAAGTGAGTCAACCACTTAGGAACTTAAGTCCCCTTAATTTTCAATGAGACTTCTATTCTCTTCTATTTTATTCCATATTGGCTCATCTCCCGCCCTTATCACCATAGTACTCAAGTGCCTTCCATTTGTGCATGAAGTCATGTATTATATACACATAGCAACTAACATTTCCTCTCCCATCCAACCCCCCTGCTCTCCCCAGCCTCACAGCTTCCTATAATCTTCAGGAGCAGGGATACCTTCCTACAGCACTCACACAAGAATGGCAGACTGAGTGAGAACTGTGTGTGTGGGGGGGAGGAGATCAAGAGGGGCCTGCTGAGATACATAGGAGGGGAGGACTCCCATCGGGCCTTATCATGCCTCTTGCTCTCCCCCACTGTGAGCTGTCTTGTTGAAAAATGGCCCTTTCCCCAATGACAAGCAGCCCCAATGATCAGATTACACCTGGAGCTCTCCCTCTGCTAGGGAAAGGGGTAGCCATAGACTGAACATTTAGGAGCTCTGCAGCCAGTTGTGGTGCTGGACTAAGGTCCCTGGAGTAGACAATCCCCAGTGATGTTCCCAGTTAAAAATGTAAAAACTTCTAGGATTTATTCACGTAGCTGAAGTTGTATAACTTAGATCGATCCCCTGCCCAGTGTAGACCAGGCCTCAGAATCCAGAGAACCTTAACATGCAAGAACCAAAAACCAGAGTGAGACAAAGCAGGCTGCTCCCTAAGGTGGATGAGCTCAGCTCACCCCCCTTTGCTCTAGCCTGGCTCTTTGCAGACTGACTCAAATCACACTGTGCTTCTTTAAAGAGCCCTCTAGCTTGTCAGCAGGGCAAGAAAACTCCTCACACTTAAAGAGATAGCTTGTCCTTTTACCAGTTTCCAGTATGCCACCTCCTGCTTTTTGATTGTTTGCTATGAAGAGGCAATTTAAGTGTTAGATGTTTTTGAACTCTGGCAAACAGGTCTGGTTTGAGGGAGGTGTAATTCAGGAATTACTTGGGAAATCTGGCCCATCATTTGTAGGTTCTGAGGACATTAAATCTGAAGCTCTCTGTCCTCTCCCCATCCACAGTTGTCAGTGCAAGGACATGCCACTTCCTTCACATCTCTGATCTCTTCTGCATACGTCTGCTGGGAGCCCCATAGAACACACCACACAGGAAACAAATTAAACGTGCCAAGATAAAAACATTCAATTGAATTGAATGTGTACCGTTAATTTAAGGACAATATACCATCTGGTTTCTCCAATCCATGGCCAGACAGCTGGGGAACGTTAACGTTTCACCTGTCCAGCAGACACGTGGTGCTCAGTGTTACTTATAGAATGTACCCAGCAGGGCAGGCTAGAGCTAGGGTGACCAGATGTCCCGATTTTATAGGGACAGTCCCGATTTTTGGGTCTTATATAGATTCCTATTACCCCCCACCCCCCGTCCCGATTTTTCACACTTGCTGTCTGGTCACCCTAGCTAGAGCAGTGGTTCTCAAACTTATTTGATCATGCTCCTTTCTCTGTGTCTGTAGCAATTTTACACACACAAGTACCTATACCGATATATACGGCGGCCGTGCGTCACTTGAATCAGTTTCAGCGTCTTTGTTTTTCACTGGAGTTGTTTTTTCCCCCCTCTGTTGCACGAATGAGCCAACGCTCCATTGTAATGAGAGCAAAAGCAAAACTGTGATCATGGTCCATCCTTACGCTGAACTGTGCACTCGGATTAACGTGTAGGTGGCAACGACTTTGTATCATGCTAGACAAGTTTAACAGAAATCTGGCAAAATGCCCAGTGCCATCTGAGGGCCTGAAAGGTCTGGAGGAATCAGCTTTGCTAATTTTTCATCGCTGTGGGTAAAATGTGCGCAGTAAGTGTTTCCCCCCCTAAAGCGTCTCACGTCCCTGCCCCTGAATACATTCCGTGCCTGCCACTTGGAGAACCTCTGGACTGGAGGAATTTGATGGTCCCAGGAGCAGCCAGAGCTTTCCAAGAAAGAGGAAATAGCTTTGAATTTTTGAGAAGGGAGGTAGTTCCGTAAAACAAAAAGGTCAGGTTTCATTCGATTACCCAGGGCGTGCCCGTCACTCTGCGGGACAGAGTGAGTATAAAGGCACCTGGCAAGGATTGTTACGGCACAGGTGGTCATGGCTTCCACTGCGATCACTGTCCGCCTCATTAAGGACTCCACTTCGGAGTCTCTGGGCTCCCAGGTTATCCCATACCGGGACCAAAACTACCAGGAGCTCAAGGAGCAGTGTCTATCGCAAGAGAACCTCTTCAACGACCCGTATTTTGAAGCTGGGGCCAGTTCCCTTGGTCTTGAATCTGCAAAAAGCAAAGAGATACAGTGGAAGAGACCTAAGGTACGTAGATCATTTTTTATCCAGTGAGGGGGGCAGTAGATGGCTCTAGATGGATGAATAGAAAAGTCACACTTTACATTAAGGTTTCATTTACGAATAGTCTATAAAGGGTTCATAAATGCTAACCGGGTGTTCTACTAAATGGTTGGTCCATTGTTACAGAGCTTAAGTTGCTCATCATCATCTCTGGGAACGTCTGCCCTGGAGGTGAAGGTTACTTTCTAGCGCAGGTAGATGTGCTAGGTTTGCTCGAGCCAGCGGACTAAAAGGAGCTGTGGCAGGGAGGGGGGGGAGGATGGGCTCGTCGCCACCCACTTACAATCTCACCTGGGACCACAGGCACGTACTCGGGGTGGCTTGCCCATCCCGCTGCTCACCCCACTGCAGCGACACTCCTTTTGTAGCATGCTCGCTTGAGCTGAGCGAGCCTACGTCTAAGTGTTACACTACCAGCTCCGGTGGAGATGTAGACTATCACACAAGCCATTCGTGGGCTGTTAATCATTTCCTGGCCCTTTCTAACCCATGTATAAATGGAACGGGAACATAAAGTGTGACCAAAAACCAGCAGTACCCTGCAGACTGGGAAGAAGTCCCACATCAACCCCAGCTGGCCTTCTCGAGGATTGAATGGGCCACGCAGACAGAAGATGGGTCAGATTCCCTCTTGTTGCCGAGCTCCACTCAGCGCATGGCAGAGAGGGGCACCAGGGAGCTGGCAATGGCTGCATGATTCCAAGAGCCAGTCTTTGGAGCCCCAGCTAAACTAGGGCAGCTCTGGGGCTGTTCTAACCTACGCCCTGGCTCTGTCTCCGAGTGGACTCTCGGTCAGCTCTGCTCCACCACGCCCACTCGACACTGCGTGTGAGTGTGGAGCTGCCTTCACCAGCTTTATCCTGGGGTGGGGAGCAGTGTTCTTTTACAGCTATGTGCGGAATGAATTGTATTCTGTGCACCAATATGGAGGTGATGTGGGGGCTCGGGGCTGGGGTGAAGGCTCTGGGGATGAGGGGTTTAGGGTGCAGGAGGGGGCTCAGAGCTGGGGCTGTGAGGGTTGGGGTGCAGGGGGGGTGAAGGCTCTGGCAGGAGGTGCGGGCTCTGGGGATGAGGGGTTTGGGGTGCGGGAGGGGGGCTCAGGACTGGGGCTGTGAGGGTGATGACTCCGGCTAGGGGTGAAGGCTCTGGGGTGGGGCTGGGGATGCGTGGTTTGGGGTGCAGGCTGCCCTGGGGCTGCAGCCAGGAGAGAGGACTCCCCCCAGCCCTCTTCCGCTGCAGCAGCTTGGGGTCAGGGCTGCGCTGGGGCCAGGGGAGAAGCACCTCTCCCTGCCTGCATGGCCCTTGAGACCTGGTCCCACAGCTTACAGGGAACTTCAGTGGTAGGCGGGGGGAGGGGGGTACCCCATACCAGGGGAATTTCCCTGCTGATCTCTTATGGTCAAAGGAGCCAGCTCTGAGCAGAGAAACTGGCTCTGAGCCTCCATGCCGGAGTTGAAGCACATTGGTAGGGGGCAGTGTGTTTGGGGGGCGCTCATCCTGCCGTTGCCTGGGCTGTATTTGTTATCGAGTTTGATACGAAAGGCCTTCAACTTGGCAACTTTCCTAAAGCACAACATTCACAGGGAAAAAGATTACAATAAATAAGATCTCAATTCAAGATCAACCCAAGTGCCTGTTTATCTTTTCATTTGCTTCTCTTCCAGGAGATTTGCCCCTACCCTAAGTTCATCCACAAGGGTATGAATTATACAGATATACACCAGGGAGCTTTAGGTAAAGTGATTTCTATTTTCATAAAATTACATATATAAATCTTTAGATTCTCACCACAGAAAGAGCTGAAGGAATGTTTTTTTACCCCACTAGATAGACATTGTCACTCCAGCCTTCCAAATCCATAGTTAATTGTTATTTTGGACATGAGTAAAAACGGTAAATAAGAGCTAAGGAAGTTTTAACGTATTGAAAATCTGACCCTGTATTCATAGAAATGCTCAGAATACAGTTTCTCTGCCACTGCTCTGCGGTTATAATTGTATGACATGCTTTACAACTGGAGCTGCAACTACTTTTTCTTCTCTCATTTCACGGTCTCTTGTGTGACTATCACTGGACGTGACTATCACTCACTTTAGATGTCAGTGGGAGCCTTCTACAGCATGGGCTGGCAGTACTGGACACCTATTTCATAGCAATACGCCTCCCTGAATCATCACAGATCTCCCAATCCTTTCCTCAGTGCACGAGGGAGAGAAATGCCCCCATTTCTCCTACAAGAGAGTTCTGACCATGAAGCTTGTGTTGTTTCTTTGCTGATGGCTCTGCCGTCCTGTATTTCAGCTGTGACCTAACCCGTGACGCATGCTTCCTTCCTAAAGAAGGATTCTGTGTCATTTAAGCAGATCAACAAAGCCCAGTTTTCAACCTTTTATATGCCCAGTAAAACTGGAAGACAGATTCACTGTTCTGGACAAACTCAGCCCAGCGCAGGAGCTGTGGAGGTGGCTTTCTGCAGCACCTGGATTCAGCTGAGTTCTGGAACAGCCGCCACAAACACAGTCCCAGGGCTGCTAGATCTCAGGTTTTGCTGCAATGGGTCTGTAAGAGATCGGACTCACCCCTGCGGCCCCTCCTGCTGGTTGTCCAGGGAATTAGCTCACCAGCCTCTGGAGCGCCCTCTGAAGGCCGGTGATCCACCTTGTCATCTGCACTGGCCCCGTGTCCCTCCCAGGACCCCAGAGCCCCTTGCCCTGGGTGCTGCCCCCGGCAATACCCACACACACTGGGTCTCCCCTCCCAGGGGAACCCCCACCCACTAACCCCACCTCACCTCAGGATAAGGCCATTGCCAGTCACCAACTAGCCCCCACTCTCTGGGGCAGACTGCAGTATAGGCCACTCATCACAGACAAGGTTGGGTTTGGACCTGCTACCTTGGCCTACCCATGGACTGCCCTCTGCAACCCCCAGTACCCCTTGGCCTTCCGCTAGGCCACAGCCTGGGGCTTTCCAGGCTGGAGCTCCTCAGCCTTTGGCCTGGCCCAAGCTCCCTGCAGCCAGGCCCTTCTCTCTCTAAATGCAGAGAGAGACTGGTGAACTCCTGGCTCCCAGCCTCTTATATAGGGCCAGCTGGGGCCTGCTTGGGGCGTGGCCCAACTGCAGCTGCTTCCCCAATCAACCCAGTTTAGCAGCTCCCAGCCGCAACCTTCCCCCAGGGCTGTTTTAGGCCCTTCAGGGCAGGAGCGGGGTAGCCACCCCGCTACAGGGTCTCATAACTCCCCTGCTAAGGGCCATTGCCGCAGCCCAAAATAGCCAGAGCTCATTGCACGGTGGCCATGTTCCTTCCTCCGTCCCGCCGGCCGTGCCTCTGGCAGCTCGGGCGCTGGGTTAGCCCCGGTCTAATGGCCTTTGCACCACCTACGCCGACTGACACCAGCTGAGGGTGTGGCCTTTATTTATTATTGTCTGCATCATCAGAGTGCCTCAGTGTCCCCCTGAGCACGTAGAGTGAAGCTACGCAACGATGAATTGGGCCCTGAGGACCTCAGAAACCCACCACTGCACGCATCTTTTTGCAGCAGGCCATACAGAGCCGGGCCAGCACTGCATGGGGCAGCACTGCATGGCAGTGCCAGTTACCATGAGTTGGGGCTGTAGGAGGGTTGGGAACAGATTCTCCATCTGGGGGGTGCATCAGAGCAAGGGTCTGCCAGAGCTGGTTATGGCCTGGGGGCCGCTTTCATTAGCACCAGCTAGCTGCAGTCTCCTAGGAACCGAACACCAACTAGGGAAACCAAGAGCATATCACGGCCTCCTCCCTTCCGTCCCTTTCCCCTCTCAAGCTGTGGAAAAGAGAAAGAAAGAAAGAAGCCCCAGGAATGAACGTGGAAGAAATTTCCACTCTCTCGGTGCTGCCTGAGTCGTACAAAGGAAACTGATCAGGGCAGGTTCCTCTGTCTTTAGTAGATGCTAGTGTAGGTGCGTGTATGCAAACAACAGGACCATAACCATCTATTTACACCTCCTCCTAACAGGTGACTGCTGGTTCCTGGCTGCAGCTGCATCCCTCGCTCAGCACCCACAGCTGATGCAGAGGGTGGTACCAGCAGGGCAAAGTTTTGACCTAGGGGATTATGCTGGCATCTTCCATTTTCAAGTGAGTTCTGTGACCTGGCAAGCCAATAGCCTCTTGATAGGCAACAGAGAAATACTGCTTAAGGTATTAAATTCAGTGGGATCAACTCTAGTGGTAGATTCCGGATGGAAGGTAAAGATGTTTCATCGTTCTGTTGGTATTTCTGTTAACAGGATGGCAGTCTGCATTTATCCCACCTTATGCTCTAGCCCTGTCACATCTCACAAAATAGTTAGGGATGGTGTTTGGATGGGAAACCTAGAAAGGTGGTAGGTGCTACAGGAAATCATAGAAGATCAGGGTTGGAAGGGACCTCAGGACATCTCCAGTCCAACCCCCTGCTCAAAGGGGGACCAATCCCCAGACAGATTTTTGCCCCAGATTCTCAAATGGCCCCCTCAAGGATTGAACTCACAATCCTAGGTTTAGCCGACCAATGCTCAAACCACTGAGCTATCCCTCCCCCAATGATGTGGTTAACTCAATAGGTGGTGCTCCACTGTTCCAGTATAGTACTGAGGGGCAGTGTGTGGTGTTGGATGGGATGAGATGAGATGGGTGAGATGCCAACCTGGAGTCCTGACCACTTTTAGGCATTAAATGTCCCAGTGTGCTATTTGCAAGAGTTGGGGCATTAACCCCAATGTTCTGGCCCCACCCCAACCTGGGTATTTCCATTCTGCTGAAGTTCATCCCTCTATATAGTTTACTGCATACAAAAGGCTATGATAAAAGGATGTTATTTGGGTTGCAAGGTCAAGACCTTGTGTCCCGTATCCACAGGAATTTGGCTACGCCCCAACTTTGGAACAGTCTCTTGAAGGAACCCCTTCAAGTTTGCCAGACCCCCAAGGGTCACCACCTCCTAGACTGAACTACTGGGCTCCAGCCCTCCTGCTACATGCTGTGAACTCTGCCCGGAGAGTCAAACTGAGACAGACGCCTGGTAGAGACTTGTACGCTCTGCAGGGATCAGCGCACCTCACCCAGTATTTGCAGGGACACCCAAATAGCGTTTTCCAAACAGGAGTAGGATTTATTAGTCAGCTGCAGCACAGCACTGGAAGTCCTTCGCTTAGTACCTAGAAATGGAGGTTAAAATATAAAGTATTCCTGTCGAACCACAAGTCACCAGCCAAAGTGTAGAGAACTCCATTTTCATACTTTGGCTCTCTCTGACTTCCTTCCTCAGTCAGTCCAAATAGGGAAAGCTCCCCCTCCCAGCCTCTTCCAAAAGGCCAACTCTTTATCCTCTCCTGGTCATGCCTCAGTCCTTTGTTCTCCAGGCCGGATCATGCTGAGTTCACAACCACTTGGCCAGAGCTTCCCACTGTTGAGAGTCCATTCATAAGTCATTGGAGCTCTCTGGACCCTTTGTTGATCTGGGTCAGTTTCTGCCAGTTCCTTAACAACTCTCTTCATTCCACCCAGACAGGGCGGTGACGCACACACCTGTGTCTCTTAGTCTGCCCTGAGAGCAAACATAAGCTTTTTCCCCCACTGAGTAGCAATGCAAAGTAGAGGGGGCTGTTGAGGCACACATAGGATTCAGACAAATATTACAAAAAATTCCTACTTTCATAGAATCATAGGACTGGAAGGGACCTCGAGAGGTCATCTAGTCCAGTCCCCTGCACTCCTGGCAGGACTAAGGATTATCTAGACCATCCCTGACAGGTGTTTGTCTAACCTCTTAAAAATCTCCAATGATGGAGATTCCACAACCTCCCTAGGCAACTTATTCCAGTGCTTAACCGCCCTGACAGTTAGGAAGTTTTTCCTAATGTCCAACCTAAACCTCCCTTGCTGCAGTTTAAGCTCATTGCTTCTTGTCCTAGCCTCAGAGGTTAAGAAGAACAATTCTTCTTCTTCAAGTGCTGTCCCTGTGGGTGCTCCACTCCAGGTGACGGTGCGTCCTGGCACTGTTGATCAGAGATCTTCGGTAACAGTGCCTGGTTGGGAACTGAGGTGGTTGGGCCCTGTGCGTGCCACACAGGCTGAAACGCCGCCGCGAGAAGGCAGCTGCGCACACGCGGCCCGACCAGGCACTGCTACCTAAGATCTTCGATCAATGGCGCCAGGACACACCGTCACCTGGAGTGGAGCACCCACAGGGACACACATCTCGAAGAACCTCAGTTACTGCACAAGGTGAGTAACCCTCTCTTCTCCATCCTCCTTGTAACAACCTTTTATGTACTTTGTCACATCTCTTCCCCCTTTGAGACTGAACTGAATAGGACACTTTAACCAGTGACCTGGGTAGTTTGAACCCACAAATGTCATTCATAGGTGCCACAGTATCTTTCCTGTCACCTTGGTAGCTGTCCTACCAAGCACTTTCAAGATTCTTACAGCACAGTTTCCAGTCAATCAAACTTACAGTTTCCAATACACACTTCAGAGCAGCTTCACATCCTCCCTTAGGTCTGGTCTGTTAGAGGACACTAGCAGGGTGCACATGGGGAGTTTTCATGTGTCCCTTTGCCCTTGTGCAGTGAGGTAGGCATCTATATCCCCCAACTCTTTAAACTGGGGCAACAGTTTGGTCTGTAGGCTCCTCGTGGAACTAACCTCGTTTGACCGCTGCAAGTCACTTATTGCACAATACTACTGGTGTCTTCAGCATCCCACCAGCTCCCACCAACTGTCCCAGATCCACAGGGATAAACAGAGCCAGGATTTTCTCCCTACCTGCGATCCTGTCTCAGCCATCCTCACTGGCATTGTACAACTTAGTAAAATGTTGCTACATCAATACTGAAGACTCCAGGAGCGGGGCAAGGATGTTGGGGAAAATTCCCCACTGGTCTTTCCCTCCTGTTCTACATCATTGCCCTCAGAAATCCCAAGGATTTCTAGGAACCAATTCCCTAAACCATATAGGAGACCAGAAAGGAGCCCCATAAACCAAAGCCCTGTGGCCAAAATTAACGGTCGCCATGGATTCTGTTTTGTTTATGTCTCCCCTCCAGTTCTGGCAGTATGGGAAGTGGGTGGATGTGGTGGTTGATGACAAGCTACCTGTGAAGAACGGAGAACTGGCCTTCGTACATTCAGAGGGACATGATGAGTTCTGGCCGGCTCTCCTGGAGAAGGCCTATGCCAAGTAAGTGCCTCTCATTCAAGACAGCCATTAATATACTTTTATAAGTTGTCTCTCTTTCCTCAGCCCTGTACCTTCCAGGCTTCCATTCCTCAACGATCCTCACACCTCCATAGGACCCTTCTCTGGGAACTGAGATTTCAACTGTGCTTCCAGGCTAATGGCCCCAAGCAAATGAATCCTTGAGTTAACCACAACCAGCTGGCGTATCTTTAAACGTGTCTTGCCCTGTCTATGCTAGGTGCAAAGTCGTGTTCAAAATCATGTTGGTTAATGTATTAAAACAGAGCCTGTTTTCCTAGTGTTGAGAAACCCTAAACCAGGACAGTTTATTCCTTCTTCCAGCTCCTCATAGAGTATGTTACATCAGTCTAGACTCCTGCTAGACTCTCTGTCACTTATTACCATGTACGACACCCCCTCTCCCACATCACCAAATGGGTGCCAATGGGCTGGAATAAAGGACTGTAGCTGTAAAAGCAACTATCGGAGAAGTCCCTAGATGGGTGTGGTAGAACATCCAGGGAGGCACAATGGGGCCCAGGGCAGCCCCCACGGGGGGAGAGAAGGGAGTGACACCCAGCCCCTTCCCATCCCCAGCTCTGTTCCACGCCCAGCCCCACACCTGTCCCTGTCCCCAGCCTTGGCACGGCTCCACTGCCGGCCCCGACCCCAGCCTCGCCCACTGGCCGCAGCTCTGTTCCCAGCCGGGGGCCAAGGCTGGGAGTGGGGCTGGGAGCGGAGATGCATCTGACTGCGGCTCCGCTCCCACCTCCAGCCTCAGCCCTGTTCCCAGCCCCAGACTCACCCCCAGCTGCAGCCCCCTTACTCCTCTCCGCATCCCCCCTCCCCAGCTGCGGTCCCGCTCCCAGGCCTGGCTCTGGGGAGGGGAGAGGGGTGTGAACCTCAAAAGTCTGGGGACCACTGAACTATCAGGAAAGTTGAAAATGGAAACTAAAGTCAATCACCCCAAATTGCACCTGAGGGTCAGAGGTCATCAATAATGTGCATAGTCCGTGTCCTCCATGCCAGTGAATTACAGCTACAGGAGAAGCAGAGAGCTCATCGGAGTCACTTGCTTGTAGTTCCTGTCAGGCTGTATTTCAATACGTTGCTTATTTCTCCCTTTCTCAATCATTTTCTTCCTTCCCCTTCAGGTTCAATGGCTCCTATGGGGCCATTGATGGTGGCTTCAGCAATGAGGCCTTTGTGACCTTCACTGGAGGTATCGGAGAGTGCATTACCCTTGAGAAGTCAATAGCATCTCCAGACTTCTTCAAAATTATAAAAACAGCGGTGGACAGGGGGTCCTTGATAGGGACAGGCACCACAGTAAGTGCATATGCCATACAACCTTTTATCTGTCTCTGAGACCTCACAGGAAACCCCTAATATCTGTAGAATATCTCTGCTCTTTCAACATCTGTGATACACTGATGTATGGCTCCTGGGGGAATTCCGCACAGCAGGGCCAGGTAAGCAGGCCTGGGACAGACAGAGCAGGGCACGCGGGGCAGCTGAGGGGGTCACAGACTGTGATTCAGGAGGGCTAGTGGGGTGACAGCATTCAGCTGGGGCTGATTGAGCCTGGGGAGGGAGACTACAGGGCCACTTGGGGATGCAGGAGGGGGTCTGCAGGGTCTCATGGGGACAGGGAAGTGGGGCTGTAGGGACACACGGGGACAGGGGCAGTTGTGCCTGACTGAATGGGAGAGACTAGGGGTCTGCCAGGGTCTGCATGGGGAAGGCTCCCCAACTCCCTAACAACCTCCCCCCCCAACACACACACAGAAAAACCACAAACCTGTTCCATATTTCTCCCACCTACACCCAACAACCCTCCAGGTTCAGACCCTGGCTCCTTCCCAGCAATTACTTCTCTCTCCCTCAGCTCCTCCGTTACTCCTCAATCCCCCAAGCCTTTGCACTGCTTCTGAGGAGTGCAGGAAATACGGTTCTGTACTGTAATTTAAATGAATTATTACTCGGAGTTGTGTATTAATATGACTAGTAAGGAATCTATTTGTCAAAACACATTTCCTGAATCTTTTTTTTTTTTTTGGTCTGTATTGTTAGACATACTTGCTGACAGCTATTTTGAAGTAGATTACCAAAATAATTGACACTGGTGTGATTATATTGTGTTATTTGATAAATAAAATATACAGAATTTTAAAATACTGTGGGCAGGATTTTTAATTTTTTTGATGCAGAATTTTTAAATGTGGGGCGTAGAATTCCCCCAGGAGTAATGTATATCAGACGTAACTACACTGAAATCAGTTAAGAAAGGGAGGTATTTTTAGCCTGCCTTAACTGTTTTTCTTTTTTGGTGTTAACACCCCTTTAGCTCAAATAAGACATGAGAGAACAACTTCCTTTGTTAAAGATTCACCACACCTACACTTCAACTTGAGAAGAGCCCGCTCCAGTTCTCTCTCCCTAAAGAAATCTCCAGCAAAACTGGGGAAGACTAGAATCAATATTCACGATGTAGAAACAAGCAGAGAAAATCCCTTCAACTTCCTTATCTTTTTCAGATCTTTTTTATACCACATAAACAAGTAAAAAAGAGCACAAATGCATTTTTCCCTTCTGCAGGTCAGCTCTGAGACTAATGCAAATGGGAGCAACAGTCTTGCTGTATAGGACTTGCCTTAAGACGTCAAATTTGTTCCTTTAAGTTTAGCAGGTGTTTCTACAGAAGCCTGCACTGTTATATTCTATCTTCTTAAAGAAGGTGTTGTGCTGTTTCTGGTATATTGTTGAATAATGGCTACATATGACATCTCCCTGTTTCCTTTTTTAGGTTCACACCTCTGTGAGCCTTTGTATCAGAGCTGTAAATGAGTGTGATGTGTGTCTTTTGTGTTAACTTTACCATAGAGTGATGAGGGCGAGGCACATGGACTGGTGAAAGAGCATGCATATTCTGTAACAGGAATTGACGAGGTGAGCCAATGCCCAGGTAGCAATGAGATTCCTTTCCTTGCTCTGTAGGGATCATCCAGGGAGACAGAGAAGCATTCAGTTTCATCACTGAAAGAGGCACCACAGCTAACCCCCTTTGTTTTCAGTTTAAACCAATTTTTACTGAAAAATTTCTGGGTTTTACAAAAAGGATTATTCTTTTTTTTTTTCTGATTTTCACCCTATATTTGTATCATTCAAATGTATACAAAATAACTTGTTTTATTAGGAAAACACAATACATTGCATGAGAGATATGTATTACGATAATACATTTGTCTGTGTGTGTATGCAAAGCTGCCTGTTGAAGAAAGAAGATACACACAATAAACAAACAGGCACACATGCAAGCTCTGAAGTGCGTGTGCATCTGAATTTACTGATTAATCTCATACCCACCACGTATACATTTCAAGCTGCTAGCAGATAACAGCTTAAAGGATACGTTTCAGAACATAAGGAAGTATTCAAAAGTTTAAAAAACCAAAAACAGGAGAAAAGGATGAAGTTGAGAATATGCACTGCAAATGGTGTGGCCCAATTATTAAATATAATTATTTATAGGCGAATAGTTCTAAGTCTACAACAGTAAACGGTTTATTCAAATTAAAAGTTTAATTTGGGGATTAGAGATATATTGTTTTCTTAAACTCAGAGGTGACGTGTTTTGAGTTCTGTTTTAGTTTTGTAGCAAACCACAGTGATGAACGGAATTCAAAGCATTAATCAGCTTAATACTTCCCCCCCCGTCTTTCTGTCCACCAAAATAAACCCCGATATTTACACCAAAAAATTATCAATTGTTTTTTTTGCACTGATTTTCACCCGTTTTTGTTGTGATGATGCGTGTTACATGTACAGACTGAACTCTCTGCTCATGGACCACTCTGTGCAATTAACTACTTTACCCACAGGTGAATTATAAGGGTGAGAGGAAAGAATTGTTGCGGCTGAGAAACCCGTGGGGCAAGTCTGAGTGGACAGGCAGATGGAGTGATGCGTAAGTGCAGCATTAAGAAGACTAATCACACCGCACAAAACAACTCAGTAGCTCCCTCAATCCTTTACAAACTTCTTGTGCATATCTTTTGGGGACAGAGGATGCATATATTAGCATTTTATATGGGAACTATAACTTGATGGTGACATCTATTAAACACAGCTCAGCCTGGTGTAGCAATCAAATGCCTTATTATGCAAAATTTCTGTCTGTGTATCAATCCAACCACAGTACCTATCTACTTATATTGTCCCCATCACTGTACTTTGAGTTCCTGCCACTAGAGAGAATATAATCACACACACACATACACACAGGTACATTACATTATTACTTTTTGTTACTGTTATTAACTATTGGGTGCAAGACACCCCATACTGGACATTGTCACCTAATATGCCCTCATATTCCATTTCATCCTATATTTCCATTCAGAACTGTCACTTAAATAGCAACAGAGGGTCCTGTGGCACCTTTAAGACTAACAGAAGTTAGTCTTAAAGGTGCCACAGGACCCTCTGTTGCTTTTTACAGATTCAGACTAACACGGCTACCCCTCTGATACTTGTCACTTAAATAAATATCTCATAGCATGTGAACTCTGCTCTTCTCCTTGTTGCACTCATGGCTTCATATTGCTTTGCATTTAGGTCACCTCTGTGGTTAGATCTGGACCCAGGACTCCAGAAAACTCTGCAGGTGAAAAAGGATGATGGAGAGTTCTGGTAAGAGACCCCAGCCCATTAAACCCCTCACAGCCAATCAAGGTCAACCCTGGGGAAAAAAAGAGTTTTTCAAAATAGTGCATATATGTCAGTTGGATTCAGCGGAAGTGTGGTGCAGTTTGGATTTGCTTTCATGCTAGCAATCAATGAGTCTATGCTGCAGGATACCGAGGAGTTAGCAAGGGACAAGAGAAGACCGGCAAACTGTCTTCAATTTGATTTTGGAAGGGGAGGAAAATGAGGTTAATAGAATCATAGAATCAGAGACGAAGAAGCCCCATTAGATCCCACATAGTCCACACCCCCTGTGGTCAAGGCAGAACTGTTCCCTATAGTCCATTCTCCAAGGCTTTGGCCAGATGATTTGTGCAATAGAGTTTCACCACTTCCCGCAAGAGACTCTGGCATAGTCTAATACACCTCAATGGCAGGAAATCTTCCATCCCACTACTTGTCATTATAACCCCCTTGAAACATCATAAACAATGTATTGGGCTGGATGCAGGAATCATTGGGTCGGAGTCCCCAGCCTGTGCTCTACAGATCAGACTAGATGATCATGGTGGTCCCTTCTGGCTTTAAAATCTATGAATCTATGAAACAATTCTCTCTCCCTTCATATACTTAAGAACATAAGAACGACCAGACTGGGTCAGACCAATGGTCCCTCTAGCCCAGTATCCTGTCTTCAACAATGGCCAGTACCAGATGCCCCAGAGGGAATGAACAGAACAAGGCAATTTGGCAGTCAGAGTTTAGGGACACGCAGAGCATGGCATTGCTTCCCTGACTAACAGCCATCGATGGAGCTGTCCTCCAGTATTCCAGTGCTTGCAGTTATTTTCCCATCTTGGTAGTCATTTATGTAAAATCTCCATAGCTAGTTCTTATAATCTTTCTGTATAAGGCTGGGTCTACACTATCCGCCTGAATCGGCGGGTAGAAATCGACCTCTCGGGGATCGACAATCAATCCCCAAATCGACGCTCTTACTCCACCAGCGGAGGTGGGAGTAAGCGCCGTCGACGGGAAGCCGCAGAGGTTGATTTTGCCGCCGTCCTCACAGCGGGGTAAGTCGGCTGCGATACGTCGAATTCAGCTATGCTATTCACGTAGCTGAATTTGCGTATCTTAAATCGACTCCCCCCTGTAGTGTAGATGTAGCCTAAGTTGGTCCTTCCACCCTTTTAATCTTTTGTTTTTTGTTTTTTTATTTACATATGTGTCTCTTCTCTTCAGAATAGTGGTACTGTCTCAGTGGGAAGGATAACAGAACAGGAGGAAAAAATAGTGGTATGGAAGGTGGGGTCTGAACTCCACATTAACTTGTTAGGGTCTGTAAAAAGCAACAGAGGGTCCTGTGGCACCTTTGAGACTAACAGAAGTATTGGGAGTATAAGCTTTCGTGGGTAAGAACCTCACTTCTTCAGATGCAAGTACTTGCCCACGAAAGCTTATGCTCCCAATACTTCTGTTAGTCTCAAAGGTGCCACAGGACCCTCTGTTGCTTTTTACAGATTCAGACTAACACGGCTCCCCCTCTGATACTTGTTAGGGTCTGTTACCTCACTCGTGCCTTCAGGCACAGACTGCTGACTGTGGAAACAGCAATAGGACAGTTCTAGCTCTGGGATCAGCTAAGCCTAATACACATATAGCTATCTGAGATAATTGTGGGGGAGGGATAGCTCAGTAGTTTATGCAGTGGCCTGCTAAACCCAGGATTGTGAGTTCAATCCTTGAGGGGGCCATTTAGGGTTTTGTGTCAGAAATCTGTCTGGGGATTGGTCCTGCTTTAAGCAGGAGGTTGGACTAGATGACCTCCTGAGGTCCCTTCCAACCCTGGTATTCTATGATTCTCTCAATTTGCTGACTAGGGTGACCAGATGTCCTGATTTTATAGGGACAGTCCTGATTTTTGGGTCTTTTTCTTATATAGGCTCCTATTACCCCCCACCTCCTGTCCTGATTTTTCACACTTGCTGTCTGGTCACCCTATTGCTGACAAATAGTAGGTTATTTGTTACTTATTTGCATGATGGTAGTACCTAGAGGCTCCAGTCATTGTGCTCGGAATTGTGCGACCATGTAGTACAAAGATTGTAATCTTGGTTCATGACGAGACGCAACAGGTGAATGAAGCCGACAGATGAGGTAAAATGAGCATGTTTTTGCAATTCTCAGTTGGCCACTTGTCTAGCATTGTGGGTTAATAATGTTCCCTGGGCATCTCAGCAAAACTGAGATGTCAGGAGGTGTTTCAAAGATAAGGTGACAGTTGTCTGCATTTTGACTGGGAGTTTCTCCTGCTCGCATAGGAGGGTAAAGCTAAATTGTGAAGAGTCTTAAAGGATCAACGTTTCCCACCTCTCTAGACCTCTATGAATTATTTCTCTGTCCTCTCTCACATCCCTCTTTCCCCCTCCCCACTGGAACAATGTGATGACTCTGTAAGGAATACAAATTCAGCTTTTTCTGCAACCCCCATTTCTCTCTTTATTTCAATGATGAAGGATGGAAATAAATGATTTTGTGAAGTATTTTGATGACCTGCAAATCTGCAGCCTGTCTCCGGATTCACTGTTCAGTGACAAAACAGCAAGTTGGAAAGTTACTGCCTTCCATGGACGCTGGATCAGTGGTTATAATGCTGGAGGCTGTGACAAAAAGAGAGGTACAATGCTTTGCCTTTCAAAAAAAAAAAAAAAAAAGTCAAGGGGTCTGGAAGTCATGGGAGGACATGAGAATCTTTGCCCTCATTAATCAAATGTAAGTTTCTAGCCCTCATGGTCATTGAGAAAACCGGGAAAATGTGACTCCCTGAAGGCTCAAAACCCATAAGGTGAATATACAAATGTATTACTTTATGCCAATCTCATGGTTTTTAGGCTAATCTCATGTTTTTGGGGAGGCTGATGTGATTTTTGAACACTTGGAGTTGGCAATACCGAGTCATTAGCCCAGAGGCTTCATAGTTTCCACACCTGGGTTCACCTGCTGGTTTGCTTAGGTTTTGCCTGCACAGGATAGATTTTTCAGTATAAGCAAAGGTGTGAATTGGAACAGAGAGCCTTGGTGGAGCTGGGAGTGGAGGTAGGACTGCAGCAGTTGCAGAAGGGGGAGCTACAAGTCAGGATTGAGGGGCATCAGCAGAGTTCTCTGTGTGTGGGGAGCCCAGGGCTGGGCTAGCAGGGGCTGCGGGTCGGGAGTGAGGGGCATCATTAGACAGGTGGGGCAGGAGAGGAGGGCAGGTACTGCAGGTCAGGACCGAGATGCACTAACAGGACTCAGGCATGGGAAATCTATACAGGTTGTTGTCTGCCTCCAGCAGCTCCCCAGCCCACACCTCTGTAAAGGCCTGTCAAAAGCTGCCCTGAGCAAAGACCTCAGCCATATCTAAAAGAGACAGGAGCTGAAATTCTCTCTTTCACGCAGCCTCAGCCAGCGGCTTTATTTCTTCCCCCTGCAAATTGAGGGTAATACCAACATCCATTTGTTTTTCTGTTTACTCCACTCCCCCCCCCCCATCCTGGTTGTAGAAAATATGTTAAAAAACCCCCAGTTCCATGTTAGGCTGCGGGAAGCAGATGAATATGACCTGAAGGAGCAGCACCCAGACCCCAAATGCACCTTGCTTGTCTCCCTGATACAGAAGGACCGACGCAGAGGAGGGAAGACACACTTGCCTATTGGTTTTCAGATCTACAAGGTAGGGGACAAGCTTTGTTATCTGTGAGAGCTGGGTGAATAATTCGAAACAAATAATTTATTCAACAAATTTCATTCCTTGAATGAACAAGAGAAAGAGGAAGGCAAGTGGAGGTCCTCTACTTCATGGGGAAGGAGAGCTAATAACTGGTGACATCAAGAAGGCTGAGGGGTTTAATGCCTGTTTTGCTTCAGTCGTCACTAAAATGGTTAATGGTGACCAGACACTCAACACAATTAATGTTGACAACAAGGGGAAGGAACACAAGCCAAACTAGGGAAAGAATAGGTTAAAAATTATTTAGATAAGTTAGACATATTCAAGTGAGCAGGGCCTGATGAAATTGGTCCGAGGGCACCCAAGGAACTGGCTGAAGCAATCTCAGAGCCATTAGCAATTATCTTGGAGAACTCTTGGATCTGGGGGACAGCAGAGGTCCCAGAAGACTGGAGAAGGGCAAACAAAGCACCTATCTTTAAAAAGGGGAACACGGAGGATTTGGGGAATGATAAACCAGTCCGCCTAACTTTAATACCTCTACAGATACAGGAGCAAATTATTAAACAATTAATTTGAAAGCACCTAGAAGATAATAAGGTTACTAGGAATGGCCAGCATGGATTTGTCAAGAACAAATCATGCCAACCCAAACTAATTTCCTTCTTTGACAGGATTACTTACCTAGTGGATGGGGGGAAGCAGTAGCTGTGATAGATCTTGATTTTAATGAGGCTTTTGGCACAGTCCCACATGACATACTCATAAGAAAACTAGGGAAGTGTGGGTCTAGATAAAATTACTATCAGGTGGGTGCACCCCTGGTTGACAGACTGTACTCAAAGAGGAGTTATCAATGGCTTGCTGTCAAACTGGGAGGATGTATCTAACGGGGCCTGCAGGGGTCAGTCCTGGGTACAGGACTAGTCAGTATTTTCATTCATGACTTAGATAATTGAGTGGAGAGTGTGCGTATACAAGGGTGCTGGGAAAAATTTTATAGTGGGGAAATGATGGAAACTGTGTATTTGGTGTTTGTTATTACTCCTTCAAGCCAGGGGTGGGGCAGCAACCCCATCACCCCTAGTTCCAGGCTTCCAGCACCACTGTGCTTATAAAATTTTCACATGACACCAAGCTGGGAGGGGTTGCAAGCTCTTCAATTCAATATGAGCGTGACAAATTGGAGAATTGGTATAAATTCAACAAGATGAAATTCAATAAAGACAAGTGCAAAGTACTTCACTGAGAAAGGAAGGATCAAATGCACAACTGCTGAAAAGGGTCTGGAGGTTAGAGTGGATCACAAACTGAATATGAGGGTCGGGAAGGAATTTTCCTCCAGGGCAGATTGGCAGAAGCCCTGGGGGGGTTTCGCCTTCCTCTGCAGCGAGGGGCACGGGTCACTTGCTGGAAGATTCTCTGCACCTTGAAGTCTTTAAATCATGATTTGAGGACTTCAATGGCTCAGACACAGGTTTGTTACAGGAGTGGGTGGGTGAGATTCTGTGGCCTGCATTGTGCA